GTCAACTGTACAGCCAACGAAGTGGTTAATCAAAAATCTAGCTATATATCCTTCCCATTATGCAAACTATATACACCTTTATCAGGCTAGTTGAAGTTACTAACAAAGCAATAAAAATACTACTAACTCTATCACGTTTGCATCTACAGTTTGATAAAAAGAATCTCCATTATGTGGGCAGCGAACGAAAAACTTTCCCGTATGAAGCAGACGCTTGTTTACCCGATCAAAGCTAGTTTAATCGTTCATAGACTAGTACCGGGTGCAGACATGTAAACTACTAAGCTTGCTGACATAACGTTCATCATTCTGCTTATGACTTCATAATTATATTAATATTTTTGGATACACTATTTTTGGAATCGATACAGATTGAGAGTTGGACCCAATATTGATTTTGAATCGTGTTTTGACTTATCTACAATTATATATTATTTTACATTTTATTTAAACGCAGTCCACTTACTTTCTGTAAAGCACGTTTATATCAATGATTAATAAACAGCTAAGTTTGCATGATTTTCTGAATAAGAAATCGCATGAGACGACGAAAACGGTTGAACTAATGTAGCGTTCACAAGTAAGCAAAGTGCGTACCTCATATACGTATATGCCTGTCATGCTCATATAATCGCTTTTTGTTCCAACATTTATTTCAGATGAAAAAATATCGAAACGTACGCATAGTTATCTGATCTGACCTTTTTATATGTGCGCTATGACGCAACTCGACGACGCTCCTTCAATATTCTCAATTTTTCTCTTTCTTCCTCGACCGCTCGCAAGACACGAATTGGATCATCCCAGCAAGTTATTGGACAATCAACTCAACGTAGTGGTTCAGCGAAATCCAGTTTGTAATTCTTGGTGTAAACCGGTGGTCTCTTAGCCGAGCCACATGACCCGCTTATTTTCACTTGGCTTCATAAAACATAGATGACACCTCTTTAATCGAACAGTCCAGTTCGCTGTCGAATTAATGCACTTGTAACGTGATCCCAGAGGAAGGCCTTTCACATTCCTCGCTCCATCGGTCGGTCTTTGAGTGAGAGTCAGTTTGTTTTCCATGCTTCAGTAGCAGACTAACACCTTTAGTACCGTAGATAATGGCGGATAGGCCGGTTGAATCGAACACTTCTTTCTTTGACCGTAGGGGCAGCGCACTTTCGAGTAATTCCGTTTCAGTACAGTTAAAGCTGACACATGCCGAGTTACCCAATTTGCTGATTTCTCCGTCCAACGAGTTTGATGGAGTTCACCTGACGACTGAGGTATGCC